ATTTGTTGCAAGTTATATGCTTTTATAATTTAAGAACTCATGGGTCTTTTTCCTTTAATAGACTAAAATTTATGTTAATATCGCCTCCTATAATTAAGTACTTACCTATTTGTGTGACTGTTTAGTACCTAGTTTGTGTAGGTGACACTTTACCCAATTTTAAAAAAAATAAATCAGTATGACGATCTACCCTATAAAGTTCTATCAAAGTACAATTTATTTTAGGTTCGTCTATAGCACTAAATTTATATAATATATTCCTTTGAATGACAGCCGGAAACGCAACTGTGACTCCTCTGGTGTTGCGGGTGCCCATGGGCGGCGCTGATCGCTTAGCATCAGGTGATCCGTCTGCCCGTTTGCCTCTTATTCCATAAAAGAATAATTTCTCAAGAATAAAGTCTATTCGTACTATAAAGTCTACTGAGTCCTTTACAATAATACCAATTCCTCCTCCTTTAGCGGGTTTTATGACCAAAAATAGAGGGTATTTTATATCTCTGGAGTTATATCGATGGGCAATAGTTTTCACTTGTCCACAGTTCGGATGAGGAAATTAAATCTATTTCAGAATCAAATAGTAATTATTCTAATGAATCCACTTTCGTCCGTTCCGTCTTAAATTAGGTTAAAGTTGTCATTTGTTACATTAATGTCTTCCTTTCCAATTAATATTATATTTTAATGTCATTGTGAGCACTATTTAATTCTGTTGTTAATAGTTCAATTTGTTTATTTAGTTGACTAGTTAAGTTATCTTTGTCATCAGCAGTGTAAACGTATTGTGCTGTATCTATTGGACATCCTGCTGATGTTATACTTTCATTTTCTTTAGTTGATGTATTTGAGCCGAACTTAGTCCGGTTACGACGAAAGATGATAATGTCTAGGACATTCATTTTGGATGATAATTATATTGACTCCTATTGAATAATAATTTCTATTAGGTACAGCTCAATCCAAAGGTGGTCTGTAAGAAATCGCCCTGCGCGATAAGACCGCCCATTGTACACTATTTTTGATGCTATCCTGTAATTTAATTGTGTTGTGTAGAATAAAGTGTAAATAATTATATTGCATATAGTATTTGCAGCAAGCGGAGTTTGAACCCGAACACCGAGTTGAAATCTATACTGTATCCAGGCGGGAGTTACTTATGTTCAAATTATCTAGTAGGTAGTTAGGTACTTCTTCGAAGTTTTATATAGGTGTACCCACGATATTATTTGTGATTATAGAAATAGAAAAAACTTTAATTTTGTTCTTTGATACAGATAGTAAAAATTTTAATAGTGTCGTGACCCACATTTCACTTGTATGTTTGATTATAATTATTGAGTGATTTTTCAAGGCGTTTTGAACAGCTTTGTTTTGATTATTATATGTGAGACAGTCACGTTCACTAATAGTGTCACTATCATAGATATATAACATAGATGTGTGAGTGTATTGTCTACGGGTAGAATTTAAGATCCATCTCGACGGTAAATTCATAAACATACTGTTGTTTCTTTTTTACTTATGTTTCTTTGCTTATGCAGAAAGAGACAACACCTTATTGTCATTCTGGCAATAATTTTTTGACGTCATCAAAAATTTTTATAGTCCTGCCGAATTCGCCATCTTGGTCTCTGTTATCAGTGCATGTCAGTGGTACATCAGCTGTCAAAGCATTGGTCAATAATATTTTGTTACGAAAATTTTTAGAATTCCTGTTATTTTTGTGCGTGGTAAGTAAACAAGGAAATTATTGGTTATTGAGAAGAACTATGCCCTGGTGTAGTGTTATTGGATGTAGCACTAAAAATATCACTAAATCGGCAGGTGTAACATTACATCGGTAAGTACTGTTATTTTTCATTAAAATATCTCTGTTTTTTAAACTATTCAAGTGAGCTTGTTGACCAAATACAATACTTTTCTAACTAATGCAGTGCTTATTTTCATTAATTTTAGTTGAAATACGTCTAAAAATTTTTTCATTGAAAAATAGTGATGTACATGTTTGTTCCCGTATCGATAATTTTATCGTTCATATTAATAAATGCTTCAAAAGTAGAACAAAAACTATACTAAATTCTGAATGATAAAGTGCATTAATTTGACATAATGACAAAATGCAAAAAACATTAAATATGCACTCGTCAAAAATTTCATTTTATCGACAATATTCCACCATAATCAATACCTACGTAATGTTATAAATAATACAAAACATGAATAATTTTTGTACAATATAAGATACGGAAATATACTTGTGGGAAAAGCATTTATTTCTAAATTGTATTTTTATCAAATACCGCTCGAGAGACTCCAATGAAGCAAACAAATGAAATATAACTCCTCCGCTATCTATCACTATCATTGCAATGTACAAACATTTTCATTCAGACCTTAGTATCAAATACCGCTCGAGAGACTCCAATGAAGCAAACAAATGAAATATAACTCCTCCGCTATCTATCACTATCATTGCAATGTACAAACATTTTCATTCAGACCTTAGTACAGTACCTATAGAATCTATAGAGATAATCTATGTTCGATTGAATCAAGTAAGTTAAATTATACTATTTATGTTGCAGCCTCTAGCCAGATCTGTGCATGAAAATGAACTTGGAACCAGTTCTGGAGTCGTCTCGAAAGATGGTTTTGCAGATTACATTACTGGGAAACAGTACGAAAAATACAAAGATATTGTAACTATATTATAAATCTTGATTTTATGAATACTTTGAAACAGTCTTATTTTTCAACCCTCAAAAATTACTTAACCTTAAGTATGTAAATGTTGACCAGTCGATGGTAAATCCTATAAATAAAATATATTTCGCTAATATTTTTAGTAATGTTTAGTAGCTAGATAAAAATCAAATCCAGACGAATCATAAAATAATGATATTTTATCGATAAATCAACTAAAACCAATACCAAAATATCGATACTTCTATAGTTTCAATAGTCACATGCGAATGACCAAGTGAAGTTTAGGTAGGCACGTTTTTTTCGTAGGTGCTTCACATCCATAGTCTTATCATATCAGTGGTCACTATAGAGGTATAGTTTAGTTTGTCATTGTCACTGTCACTAGAGCTTTAGATTTTTAAGCACATTTCTATAAGACATTATTAATAATTTTAAAATACTTTTTAAACACGCACTCAATGGGTTCTTGGCAGCACCAGTGTAATACCACCCCCTAAGCGTTACAAGTACAGAAAGCACTACTACATACATGTTTGGATTTGGAAGTCATTAGGAATTAAAATGCTTATAATGTCTTTGTGTTATGGACTCACTTTACCACACTTCTAACCATTTAACTCTTTAACGCACACAAAATAAGGTACATAAGGCGGACCTAATGCCATATGGCATTTTCTCCCAGTTAACCTTTAGGTTTAATAAAAAATCAGAGAATATAGGCTTGTGTAATAAGCAGTACGTGTTATTTTATAACACTAACTGAAAAATTATACAGTTAATAATTAACTAATATTATACAGTTAATAATTAACTAAATAAATCATATAATTAATATACAGTTAATAATTAACTAAATAAACCATATAATTAAGATTTAGAAAGTCAACGTTTAGACCACAGACAACTGAAATGTTCTATATCAAAATAACATCTATCGATCACAAGATCACAATACATGCCCAGTTACGACATTACAAAAATATCTGATCCACTTTCAATTACACATAAATAGTAAGCAATAAAGCAAGTATTCAACTCCATTAATTTTCGCATTTATTCTTAGTACTCCTTGTACATGTCCCAGTATGTAATATGAAGTGCTTAAATCAGTAACGTAATGGTTATGTGGAAGCACAAAGCGCCGAGCGGCCGCACCCCTTGGGAACCTGGACACCTGTGTAACCTTCCACCAACTGAACTCTTCGATTTTCAATCTTTATGTATGTATGAATTTATATCTATACATACATATAGCTATCGATCAAAATAGAGGACAATTTCTGTATACTCCATATACGATGTGGTAAAGCTGAACAGCTTTTGTATGAGTCTTTCTCAGAGAGTATAAACTGTTATCGAAATGAGTGCAAATTCAGGGTAACACTTACCTACTATGCTCTTACTTCGACCTAAAGCCCCGATAACCTACTTTGACCTGGATACCATCGGGTCTCCAGGTTGTCGAACCTGCAATGTTGTGCGCAGCCCCACCTGGAGTAAGAACGGGATGGTTTCGAGTCAGTAAAAAGAGCCCAGACACTACTTCTCGCCTCACCCAAGGCGGGAGAAGACATTTGATTGTTCTCTCCCCCCTCGAAAAAGATTTCGTACTCAATAATTTGTAACTTCTCTGGTGGTGCAGGTGTCCGTGGGCGGCGCTAATAGCTTGCCATTTCCCGTTTGCCCCCAATTCCCAATAAATAATAGCCATTTTATTTTTATTCTCACAAAAGCAAACCAATCAAGGAAATCGAATACATAACAAGAAAAACACAAAGTAATGATAATAAAATATTTTATTTGAAAAGAATATGTTATATCTATATAAGTATATAGATATGACTTGATAATGTCAATGTAAAATGAAAGTATAGGTACTATAATTAAGATTCAGTATTCAATGACTAGTTTAGAACATTAGTTACCTAAATATCTAGTAAAACTTTGGTGTCACAATAGATTACACTTTATCCACTTATTTAATGATAAATATTACCTAATTGACAAGACATAATTGAGACAATTGTATTTAATAAATACTTTTCTAACTGCTGAGATCATTTTAGAAGTTAAGAATTAACAATATTTTACCGTATTATTCATAAAAATGATTACGCTATTAGGTATGTACTTACTATAGAATAGTTTGTTTTCTTTATTTATTTAAACATAGTGAGTAAGCCAGCCAGCAAGGTAACGCGACGAATCAACAACAGCCGCCCTCTTTGACAAATCATTCTATAGTTTCATGCAATGGTAATCTTGTTGATAAACAATACTATTATGATTGGTATTTATCTAAGTTCCTCCTTTTCAATGATAGTGGTGGTGCTGGGGAATATTCGTGGATCTTCCGGCATCCATATTTTGGCGTGCAACGTCGACCCAGGCTGTCTCTCACCACGTCTCGACCAAGACAATGAATGCGCTTGCAGATTGCTACCTATGAAAAAAAAATACTTTTATTTCATCAATCTAGCATAGATGTATGAACACGGACTAATAAAACTCATAATATAGAATTGTTTATTGTTTCTTGAAAGATTAAAATCTGGGGTTACGCTCGTAGCGATTTGCTACGCGCGTAGCACGCGTAGTACCCAGTGTTGCTATCAGGATTTTGGAGCCTCGGATGAAGTTTCAGTAGGTAGTTAGTGTGTCGTTATATTTCACGTAATGTAACATGTATACAATACAACAACAAAAATAGTACAAGAGCAACAATAGCTAATCGTCTAACTTTAATTATCCGCGCACAATCGTTCGGAACCCCTAAGCGTTTCAACTTGAGGTTTATTTATCTACAATTATTTTTGTGAAACGTAAAGAGGGCTAACTAAACTGTTCGCAAATGCGTTAAGGCCCCGTGTTGCGTAGGGTGTGTTGCACGAGGGTCGTACACGTGCGCGCTGTTAGGCCCCTTAGGCCCCCGACACTACTCGCAACCGATAGGGTTGCCCTGTCCTTGTCGATTATTTTTTTCATTGTATTGCGCTTATGATAACAAATTCATTGATATTTCTATCGATAAGGGAATAATGGGGTTTGTTTTTTGTGGTATATAAAATGTATTTGTTTATTCCTGTCTACTTTTAATATGCGTCTCATAAATTAATTTCTTTCTTTAATTCCTACTGAGTACTAATTACTACTGTAATTATTTTAGACACTAATTGCAAGTGCACCTCGTGGTTCCACATTTCCTTGAAAAGATTTTATAACTAATAACAGGCCGTTGGCCGCGACGGTCGACGTGTACTATCATAAGTAATTATAAACCAATGTCCCATAATGAACGGTACAAACCTGGGGTAAACCTCTGTACTGTGTACAGGTAAGGATACCATATTATTAAGAGAATGGTTTGGTAAAATGAAAAGGTTTACCTAAGAATAAAACTTTCCTTCAATTTTGAAATAATCACAATAATGCATCGTTTTAGTTTACCATTTTTATGTGGCGCGTAACAGCACGAATAAAATGAACTTTTTTTTATAAGTAAGTAGGTACTTCATTCACAAGTACAAGGTCCTACTACAACGTAGGCGACCGTCTACGTTTCTGAAACCACACTGGTTACCTGCTTATGTCTGACTTTGTTTATTACGTTTGATGATGACTGTACTCCATTTGTATTTAATATCGGTTCAAATTACATGAGTGGATACTTCCGGTGATTTGCGCGGTCGCCACAAAACTACTACCGAATACCACTGATTTCTGTCATTAGTTGATATTAAATATTAACCGTCATGTAATAGGGGCACAAAGTTCCTAATACATCGACTGTATCAAACCATTTTGTAGGATCTAACTGTAGGTTAACTATTTTACAACACGGCGAAATGAATAGACAAAATGTGTTTAAGCTTCTATTAGACGTATAAATCAATGTAAATATAATAAATATCTATCAAATTCAATTCGCTTGTCCGCGATAGTTTTTACCAGCAAATTTAGACAGCGCACCTAACTCTTCTTCGATTCTGAGAACTTGGTTGTACTTGTCAACGCGTTCGCCGCGCACTGGCGCTCCGCACTTGATCTGGCCCGCAGACAACCCGACTACCAGATCAGCCAGGAACAAATCATTAGTATCTCCCCATCTGTCGCAGATAACCACGCCAAATCCAGCAGATTTTAAAATCTTGAAACATTCAATAACTTCACTCAGAGTGCCTGCTTGATTTATTCGCAAACCAACCGTATTGCCAGCCTTTTTCTCGATAGCGAGACCAACTCGTCTTAGGTTAGTCTGCGTTAGATCGTTGCCAAAGAGTTGAGCAGTAGTCCGAGTTGTCAGCAGAGACCACGCCGCCCAGTCGTCCAAATCAAAAGCGTCTTCAACGGAACATACCGAAAATTCTTTTACGTTATCCAAATATATCTCGGCGAGTTTGTCAGACGACATATATTCTTGGGGATTTGAATTAGGATTTTTAAAATCTAAGTCATATGCTCCGTCTTTATATAGATCCGAAGCGGCGGCATTGAGAGCTATTTCAACCTTAGTTGCATATCCACATTGCTTGATTGCGTCAGAAAGGAAAAGAAGGGCATCTCTATGGCTCTGTAATGGAATTGAAAACCCGCCATTATCAGCTACATACGCAGTATCGACTTTGTACTTGCTCAATATAATGTTCTTGACGTACGTATATATTTCCGTGCCAATACGCATCGCCTCCGCGAAGGATGAGGCTCCAGTAGGCATTACTATATATTCTTGGAATGGTAGTGTATTAGAGGACAATATTCCTCCTGTTAAAATTGTAAAATGAGGTACCGGCAATATGATAGTGGTAACTCCTCCCATATCAGAGATATGTCTGTAGAGGGGCACTCCTTTCTTAGCGGCTCCAGCTTTGGCGACTACTAATGACACAGCCATAATTGCGTTGGCACCAAGCCTAGACCGGGTATCAGTGCCATCGAGAGCGATCATAAAATGATCTATTTCTTTTTGCATAGTAACCTCAAGATTCTGCTTAATGAGCTCTGGTGCTATAATGGTGTTTATATTTTTGACAGCCATCAGAACACCCATACCGTGGTACTCCGCCGGATTATTATCTCGAAGTTGTAAGGCTTCAGCTCCTTTCTTAACATCAGTTGATGGAACAGCAATGCGAAATAATCCAAGTTCTGTCACCATGTCCACTTCAACGGTTGGGATGCCTGTTGCGTCAAATATTTGGCGAGCGAGTAGAAGTTTGATAGGCATTTTTATGAATCGATTAGGGGTAAAAATAAATAAAAAAAATTAAATTCACTTGAAAATAATTTTCAGTAACTTCAATAATATCAAGAGTAACAAACAATGTGTCAAATTCTTTGTTCTATAATTTAAATTTATTTTACACCTGCGGTGCCAGTCGCTAATAACATTGTTATACTTTTTGGTGGGGTCCCTAAAAAAAACAATACAGAAAAGTACATCGACACGCGACGGGAGTGTGAAAAGGCGCACGTGCGGTATAATCTCTATGTAAATCCTACATTACACTTCGATAAGGTGCTTTTTAATAATTGAAAAAGAGATTATACATCGGCCACTATTGGTTATACTGTAGTCATTATCTTTAACACATCGCAATAGAGTATGTTATCAGCCCTCGTTTGTTTGAGTCCATAGTCACCATAGTCGACGCTTTTGATATTGATATGAAAATAATGGACTTGTATTGTCGAGTACCCATTCGTAGATTATCAAAGTGTAATTTTTTGGTAGGTAAGCTGCAGTGATTTTAACGTGCATGTCATATAGTTTTTTTAAGTCATATTTTACATATCGATGAATTTTATGTAGTGTTTAAGCTAGAGAAGTTGATAGGTATTTCTCAAAGTGCGAACAAAATAAAAGCAAGGGGTCGACCGCGTTAAAGTGGTGTAGAGGACTTAATTGTGTTCTAATACACTGCGTCCCCGTCCCCTATTAACGCTGGGCGATCTTTCAATTTGCTACGGCGTGATTCGCAAATATGCTGCTTACACCCTTGTTTACACTGTTAGAAGCATCAGCACAAGTGTTCTGCAAAGCTTCTTGTATGTCAAATTAGGGGGGTGTATTGTTTTGAATACATTAAGGCGCACTTCAAAGTAATTCTTTTATAAAACCTTATGAAACAAATTGTTTTATAAACGCAACATGCATAGGGACACGAAATTACTATAATGTCAGTCAAAACTGTGGGAGAGAATATAATCGATAAATTAAATGACACGTTTGTCACGGTAGCAGGATCTGTGGGATGATAAAAGGTGGGATCCCACGGGACGAGTCCAGGCGGGGTAGCACTCATCACGCGATGTTACCGTGAGAACTAAACGCCGCTGCTACTGGACCAATCGAGACGATTGTAAAATTCGTTCATCACGCAATGTGTGACGTAATTACTGCTTTCCATACCATATTTCGAGGGGAACTCCGGGACAATAGCAATGTAAATTACAGAAACATAAATAAATTAGCGAGTATAATACGGAACATTAAAATTTTGATTAAAATACTATCTAGTAAGTCTAGTACTTACGTCCTAGGTACCTATTAATGAATGAAAGTAACTAAATAAATACCTTATAGTGATAAACTTTATAAAAAATCGAATCTCATGGTAAAATGGTTTTACGTGCTAAGTTGGTAGAAATAAAACTTAATGAAGCTAAATTGCATTGGCCCTCCTCAGCTCAGCCCTCCTTGCACCTCAACCTTCAGTTGTTTGTATTATTATTCTTTAATTTCTTGTTTCTCATTTATATGAAGTGTCAGTAACGAAAGAAGTATACAGAGCGGATATGAATGAAGTCGTCGTCGTACAGGTCGCCCTAGACGGACATAATTATATCAACCAGATTAGCGACATAATATAAAAAGGGCCGAATTAAAAGTAGGTACCCTTAACCGACGAGCATGCATTAAATGCTGATGACTGTTGATGAAACAAAAGATATATGTAAGAATCGTAGCAATTGGCGTTTCATAGTCTCGACCCAGGGCCGCGCCGCCCCTGTGTGCGAAGTGTGCGGCGCACACAGGCGCCAAGACAATAGGGGCGCCGTGTCGCGCCACCACCTCTACTTGAATTATTTTTGTTACCTTAATTATTATATTTTTGGTAGTAGAGTATCGATAAGTAAGTAGGTACAATAGGCGCAACATAGGCCTTGTATACAACAAAACTTATATTACGCTTATTAAACAAGTCTCTCAATATTTATGTTTATTATTAATCACGTTTATGGTTTCATTTTACACTTAGGGTTTTAGTTTACATTACTTACGATTTACAAGATCAACGTTAAAACGGCGGCAGATCTTTTGAACCACAGATAAAGTAGGTACCTACTAGTTATATTGAATCATAAAGGCACCGACTTTGTATGAGTAAGTATGAGTGAGTTTGTGAACGCAACCCGATGCGATGCGTGCGAGGCTATAGGAGTAGGGTCACAGGGATTCCCCGATTTTAACGAACGAGAGAGTCAAGCTAAAACAAAACAATTGAACAATCATTTGATTGAAAGTGTGTGTAAGGTGCGCATTGAACTTTTTACTGACTTTAAAAAAAGGAGGAGGTACATATGTTCGGCTGATTGTTTTTTTTTTCAGTACTCCGCCATATGTGAACCGATTTCGAAAATTATTGTTTTGTTTGAAAGGGTATACTCCCGAGATGGTCCCATTTCCATGAGGTCAGGATCTGATGATGGGATCCTAGGGAAACAAAGGGGAACTTTTGAAAATTCTATGGGCGAGTACTGCGTCTATTTTGTTTTTCAATTACGATTTTTAAACACTACAATTTGATAAGGGTCTGGATTTGACCTGATGATGGAGCCGACAGACAGTCGAGGGAACTCCTCAGCGATTTATATTAACTACCTTGTGTTTGTACTAAATTAATCAAGCCCAAGCATAGGGTAGTTAATAAAAACAGCTGAGGAGTTCTCTCGATTGTCTGTCGGCTCCATCATCAGGTCGACTCCAGACCGTTATCAAATTGTAATGTTTAAAAATCGTAATTGAAAAACATAATAGACTCATTACTCGCCCCTAAAATTTTCGAAAGTTCTCCTCGGTTCCTCTCGGTTTCCCTAGGATCCCATCATCAGATTCTGAGCTCATGGAAATGGGACCATTTCGAGAGTATACCCTTTTAAATAAAATAAGATTTTTGGAAATCGGTGTACAAATGGCGGAGTAATGTGCGAACAAACAAAAAAAATCAATCAGCCGAACATAGCACCTCCTGCTTTTTTGAAGTCGGTAAAAAAGAGGCGCTCTATCGATTCCGCACACAGGCGCTGCCGGGGGTCGGCGCGGCCCTGTCTCGACCTACCCCCAAGGGAGACAGGCGTGAGGTTATGTATGTACGAGTCTACGAAGTATCCCCTCGTGTCGCTGGCCCGTAATTATCTAGGTAACATAATGAAGTGTTATGACGCTAAGTTGAAATTTTAATGAATTAAAAACTTTAGCACTGTCAAGCGATTTTAGTTGCTGAGAAACGAAAGTGTGTTTCTTTTAATAGTTGTTTCTAATTGTTTGATGGACTTTGTTAATGTTATTTTTACGTAGGTAGGTACTGTAATTTTCGCATTGCTTAAGTATTTACAACATCTGTCGTTATCGATTATAGGTACATAAGATTTGTCTCAAATCAATTTATAAACACCGTTTTATGAATCTTAATAATAATTACAAAACATGGACAGAAATAGAATGACAAATTGATACGTCACAAAAGAAAAATAGAAAGAAAAATAATCAGGTACTTTATAGCCTTCATGGCTTATAATTTTGTAAATTGAGGTTTGCAAACAGAATACCTAAGTAAGTAATACTTTTAACTTAAGTATAGTCTAGTTCATATGCAATTTTAACCCGTATGTATTAGGTCGACCTGTACAATCTGCATTACACACACTTCTACTTCTTCTAGGTATATCATAATGAAACTTGGCAAGAATAAAATTAAGATGACCATATAAATTTATGGTAGCTACCATCTAGCTGGATTAGTGATAGCACACGGTGAGTAATAGAATCTTGAGCTAGTATTTAAATTAACTCGTCGAGTACCGTATTTATAGACACAATTAAAGAACAATAGGTTGCGGTCACCGGTGACCGCTTGGTGTTTGACAGTTTAAACATGTCGAGTCTAAGCTCGTTGAATATGTCCATTAGTCCATTTCTCCTGTAGACAGGGACACTACGATTTGTAAAAGGCGTGTATTAGTTATAACTCTGAATTTATTCTGCTTTTGATTAAGTTGCATAATGTTCATATTAGTGGTTTATCGATCATTAAAAGGTGCACAGACAATGCAGGGGTCGTGTCCTGGCACCGCCGCTGCATGACCCCGGGCCGCATCGTTTGTGCACGCTCCATTGGGCACCGTACATCTGTACGCCTTCATTTATTATGTCTGATGGACAATTTGTTACTAAATTACTTACTGAATGTTATGAAACAGGCGCGAAATATATTAACACTAGCTGTTCCTCGCGGCTGTGCTCGCGTCACAAAAGGATAAAAAGTAGCCTATGTGACATATACCAATACACACAGCGCCATCTATACCAATACTTTTGTTTTCCCTCGGGAATATCAAATTTTTCCAGGATAAAAATTACCCTATTATTTAATCCAGACTTCTAACTTTACGTCTGCAAAAATCAAAGCAATCGGTTTAGTAGTTACGGCGTGAAGGCGGAACAAACAAACAAACTCACTTTCCAATTTATAATATTAGTAAGGATAACATCACACTTTTTATTCCCGAAGGGGTATGCAGAGGCGAAATATAATATGTTAACTTATTTGTGAAACTCTTTGCTGAAGAAAATGTTACTGCTGTCTCAAAGAGACTTTTGTTAAGAATAGGGATGGCTTTTCACCTAAGCATTTTTTATATTCTGGTTTAATCAAATTATTATACCGACTATATTTCCCATTGAACTGACTACTTGTTGTCACAAGTTCTCAATGAAATTCATTAAATATGATGGTAATTTCATGCAGCTATTATAGATAAATTACGGTTATACAATGGAAAATATACACAGAAGGATATTCGTTCCTATTATGGAGAGAAATTAGCCAGTACAAAAGTACAAACAGACACACTGGTATGTGGATCGTATGCATATTCATATATGCATATAGTAAAAAGCAATCGGTCATTTTAATATTACACACCACCACCTTTATTTATCTG